CTGCCCCTCCAGAAATATTCTCCTTGCTCAGTTTACTGTTCCAGTAATTCTTGATATCATTGGCCGTCCTCCCGGGCAGTCTACCTGCGATTAACGACCATCTAMAAGCWAGAAAAGATTAATTATTTAGTCAAAGTAGAGCTACTTAGATTTGATATATATTATAGATGGAGAATGTCTTCGTCTTCATGCCGGAAATGACATGCCGGAAAACAATCGTCTCTGGTTCAATAATTTTAAATTCTTTTCTCTCTCAAATGAAATACAGGTTTGTTTTGCACTAACTAGAAGAAACACACCAAGCCTCCCTCTCCTACAAGATAATATAGTCATAAATAGGAAGCATCTTTATTCGAGTTCGGATATTATTCATGTGAGATGTTTCCAATGCACTGCTGATGTCTTGTGATATTAGACACTACAATTTTTCCCTTCCCTGCCCCAGTCACCGTGGGTTTCTTTACCATTGATTAGGGTAATTGGGTTGAGTTTCGGGGACCAAGGTGACCAAGGTGAGGATGGTATTTGTCCACACCCTGCCCTAAACTAGCATATATACTCACACTCTTTTTATTAATATTTTTGAAGAATTATGATATATTTTGTATTAAAATATAATATAATATAATTTATGTTAATATATATATATATATATTATTACAAAATATATTATATACTAATATAAATTATATTATATTATATTTACTACAAAATATATTATAATTCTTCAAAAATATAAAAGAAAGTAAAATTGTAAGTATGCAAGTAGGAATGATCGGACAGGGCAGGGCGGGAAAAATTCGGGGATCCCCATTTCCTCTGGGGATGGAAATGGGGTTGGGATTTCTAGCCCCGATGAGGTTCGAGGTGAGGATAGGGTGGGGCATGCAAAACTGGCCCCGCTCCGCCTTGTTGTCATTTCTATGTCGTAGGCATGTAAGTCAAATTCACATTAGCTCCCCACAAAGTGTGTCCCATAGCACAATCGAACCGTGTATTGAGAACATCTCCCAATGAGAAGTACAGGAGATGTTCGCAATGCATGGTTAGGATGTGCTATGGGGCACCACGTGTGGGATACATTCTCTGAGGAGCCAATCCAAACTTGTACAAGTAGAGTTGGATCCAATTAGCATTTTACACTAATTCAGACTTGGATTCGGATCTCCTATGCATAAACTCTTTCCACATCCCTACCACATAACACATGGAGAGCATCTCATCCTCTGCATAGTATTATACAGGGGAGATATTCCCAATTCACAGAGGATAGTGTATTGTGGATAGGCATGGACAAAATTCTTGTGGAGAGAAGATCCAGTCTCAATTTGAATTGGGGGTGGGTTTAAATGTCCTACCCACAAACTCTTCCCACATCACACAACACTACAGACTCACATTGGCAGTGGATTTGGATCTCCTATCCACAAACTCTTCTCACATCCCTCCCTGTCCCACACTAACACTACATACTCATATTGGGAGGGAGTATCTCAATCCACCCACAGCAAAATGTTCATCCCGAACCCATGCATGTACCTGTAGGCAGGCCACTGCAGCCGCACATCAGGAACAAGTTGGGAGCGTTTGTTGGTATAAGATCTGAGCTCATTTACTACATCGGATATTTCCCTAAATAGATGCAATCTTATGAGCATTGATTTTTATTTCCTTTTAATATAATTTTCATGGTAATTGAAATGCAGGCAGAGATGGAATCATAAACTGAAAAGCTGCCTGTTGCCTAAGAGTTTGTGGAGCCTAATTATGAGATCAGCTTCATCCAACGTGAATTTCTCTCTCTTAATATCCGGCTTAAGATAGTTCAACCATCTCAATCTACAGCTCTTTCGACATCTCCGTAGGCCTGAACCCAAGAATTATAACAAAAAACCAAAACAATAAATCTCAAAAAGAAGAAGAGAATGAAATAGGCACCAAAAAGAAGAAAATTAAGGGATTAAAAGTTTTTTGGGAAAATCTTCTGATAGCTCTGACATTCAAAAGTCGTATTGAACTTTTACATGAAGATTTTGAATAGATCGAAAAATTCTGTTTGGAACTTCCTAATCAGTCTAAAATGGGTTTTTCGTGTGTTTTCAATGCACCGACTTTTAACAGCTAAATCTGTTATGAGCCAAATGGAAAAAGACCACAACAGTCTGTCCAACTTGTAAACAGGCAAAAAACCACATAGAAAAACACACCAAACAGGGCCTAAGCTTTCTTTAAATAAACATTGCACCATGCAACATCGTAGCAACTGGTGACTCTCTTCTCTCTCTCCAAAGAAAAAAAAGAAAAGAAAATAAGAATAGTACCTGCTCTAYAAGGAACCAGATGCCATTTTCCCTCTCCATATTTCTCTATGCACWTCCTTAGAAGAGCATCTTCTTCTCGGGTCCATGAACCTTTTATTAAACCCAAAGAACGACCCTCCATATTGTTCAGAGACGGAGTTTCACAGAAATGGGATTGCAAATCCACCAAAGGATCTAATTTATATGTTTTCAAATGAAAAATAAAAAAATCCCTTGTTTTCAATTGTTATCAGCTACCGGTCCATCTATTATTCTGTCTTCATGGCATGCAAGTGTGCCAACGTGATGTAAGGTTCTCGTTTAGCATGGCATGCAAGTGTGCAATGTGATTATTCAAAAACTACGTGCCCTCTACTTAAAACTATATAGGATGAGGGCCCATTATTAAATGGATGTGAACAATTATTTGAAAAAGGGTGTCAGATCATCATTGCATTGTCATTTATTCTAGAATACTATTTGGTAAAACTTTTATTAGATAAACATATATCTTAGTTAATTTGTCGATTAATTGCAAATTACTTGCTCGATCAAATGCATCCATTAACATTATATTTACATGGCAATCTGTAGATACATTTTTAAGTTGTTTTCCTATTCAGATCTAGCAAAGGTTTCTGCTAATAAGCCTAATATGCAATTGATGAGGGCGGATTTGGCCCTCCAATGACATTGTGACACATGGTATCATGGAACAAATAGGTGACACCCAGAACCACCTAGGCGATAACTTGCCTTAGCCAAAATGATGGTATCCCAACTTGCGACCTAGTGACCTGCCTTTATGCCGACCTGGCGACCAGCCTCTAGCGCCGACTTGGCGACCTACCTTTACCCAGACCTGGCGACCTGCCTTTATGCCGACCTAGCGACCTTGACCACAACTCAGGTCGGCCAGAAGTACCTCGTCCAAGACCGACCTGCAACACCTTTTCACTGGCCAAAGTGACCTCGACGCAAGGAGCGACCACCCACGAGGGCACACTAGCCTGACTGAGGGCTAGGTGGCGACCTGCAAGATGTGCTCGCCAACAAATCCGGCATGCATATCCCGACAATCCCACGATCCTTGGAAGTTGGCCTACGTATCAAACATTCCGGAGGATGGTCAACATGCAAGGCGGTTGCCTCCGAGGATCTTGGACCATTTAGGCACGACCTCCAGGAAATCTTGGATGCGATACGTGAGGCCCACATCAAACAAGGCCTATATAAAGACACCAACCCCAATGATGCAAGGAGGGGCAAGTAAGCACATTCTAGCTCTCATACTTTATGATTTTTTAGCTCGTGTTCTACTACGAGAGTATTAACTTAATCATTGGAGTGACATCGCCAGGTCAGGCAGCCTGGGCCCTCCGACATTGATTCCTTGCAGGTTTCTCTAAGGAGCTACCTATCTCAGCACTCAACCCAGCTTAGCACCTAATCCACCCCCAGCTCAGCCTAGTCAGCTCGGCACCTAATCCACTCCCAGCTCGGCATCCAGATCCTCATCCAGCAAAAATTCTCTACTTCTGCCTCTGAGTCATCGGTCACTTGGAAGTAGTCTGAACGATAGAGTGCTGCCAAAAACTTGATTCATCAATTAGCGTCGTCTGTGGGAAACACTACAAGAAGCTAAGTTCTCACATTCTGAAAGGCCAAAAAATTGATTCATCAATTGGCGCTGTCTATGGGATACGCTACAAGAAGCTAAATTCTCACCTTCTGAAAGGCTAAATCCTCTTCATCCAGAAATCTAAGTTCTCACCATTTAGAAAATAAAGCTCTCACTTTCTAATTTCCATTTTTTATGAAGAAAAAGGCACCTTTGAGCAGCATCAACACCCAGAATGAATACCGATTACTGGGGGGCAAAAACATATATGATGAACCTAGAGATCTCCCATTTGACAATCAAACAAGTTCAAGCCAAACAAAGCATCCCTAGTGCCCAAAATAAATACCCTGATATTGGGAACAACTAGATGTATTAATGTCGATGCAGAACAGGTAGCAACAGAATGACCTTGACAACTAGCAGTCCGACGACAGGCACCTCGGAGTAAGGCTATCGTCGTAGGTTGAGGCAATCATGGTTCTCGCAAGAAGTTGATGGCGAACAGACTAAGTAGCTTTGCCAACTTTATTTCAGCTCGGATAAGCCTCATCAGTCCTCTTTGTGATGTACCCTCTACAAGATGAGCTCTTCGGGGCTTCCACGGAAGTTGGCGGCCAAGAGACGACATGGACACCCTTGCAGGTCAAGCCTTCCAAGGCTCCCGTGCAAGTTGGTGACCTAAAGTCAGTAGTGCTGCCCCCATAGGTTGAGCTCACAGTGGCTTCTTGTAGGAGTGGGTGACCGACGTCACAAATGAGGTTGATGCTGTGCAGCCATGGCTGGCGCTAGAAGGAGGGCAGGGGAAAAATCAAGGATAAGGAGAGTGGGTTGCAAGTCACTCCCAGAGCCTAAGGGCTAAGGTGTCGAGCTGATAAAAGACCTTAGCACCACATGGGACCAAGTAGCCTCTTCGGCAAGATAAAGGATAAGGAGAGTGGGCCGCAAGTCGCTCCCAGAGCCTAAGAGCTAAAGTGCGGATTGATTAAAGACCTCGGCACCACAAAAGACCGATTCACCTCTTTTTCATGGGCGAAATAAAAAGCATTTCGCATTCACCACGAGAAAGAAAATAAAGGAAAGACTATTTCGCTCTCAGCACCATGATGGATGCAAACTTGATTTCTTAATAGTCGACCTCCATCTCGGTTGTAGGCTCCGCATCGAATTCACTAGCTAGAACCAACTTGAAGGAAGCTGCGTCGATGTCTACATAGGTGGAGTGACCTGATAAAGTGGTCACACAGAACCCCCTCTTGAGGATGGCATGATGAGCTTCACTCTTAACATACTTAGCCGGATTGCAGAACCTCCTGATGGTCACATCCCTAAAAAGGTAGATGTCCTCAGGGTACCTGCTCCACCTCTCCTCGATATGATGAATTCGCTCTCGTGCACTGAAAATAAAGATGGCGAGGTCATGCATAAGGCTGCAAACACTTGGACTCTTCTGACCTGACAAGAAAATTGGATCGACACTTACGAGCTCATTGAATTAGTCATTCCAGCCCAAAAGGAACAATCTACTCCCTTCGCCGAGTTACTTTCAGCTCGGGAGAGGGGGGCAATTGATGAGGGCGGATTTGGCCATCCAATGACATTGTGACACATGGCATCTCAAAACATTTGTGTGAGACCCAGAACCACCTAGGCGACAAGTTGCCTTAGCCAAAATGATGGTGTCCCAACTAGCGACCAGGCACTATCGCCGACCTGGCGACCTGCCCTTATGCCAACCTGGTGACCTGCCTTTAGCGCCGACCTGGCGACCTACCTTTACCCAGACCTGGCGACCTGCCTTTATGCCGACCTAGCGACCTCGACCATAACCCAGGTCGGCCAGAAAGCACCTCGTCTAGGGCCAACCTACAGCACCTCGTCATTGGCCGAAGTGACCTCGATGCAAGGAGCGACCTCCCTCGAAGGCGCACTGGCTTGACTGAGGTCCAAGTGGCGACCTGCGAGACATGCTTGCCAACAAATTCGGCATGCATATCCCGACACTCCCACGATCCTTGGAAGTTGGCCCACATACCAAATGTTCTGGAGGATGGTCAACGTGCATGGAGGTTGCCTTCGATGATCTCGAACCGGTTAGGCATGACCTCCCGGAAATCTTGGATGCGGTATGCGAGGCCCACATCAAAAAATGCCTACAAAAAGGAACCAACCCAAATGACAAAGGGAGGGGCAAATAAGCACATTCTAGCTCTCATACTTTATGATTTTTTAGCTCGCGATCTACAACGAGACTACTAACTTAATTATCAGAGCGACCTCCCTGGGTTAGGCACACCAGGTGCTCTGACATTGATTCCTTGCAGGTTTCTGTAACGAGCTACCTAGCTCAGCATTCGGCATCCAGATCCTCTTCCAACAAAAATTCTCCACTTCTACCTCTAAGTAATCGACCACTTGGAAGTAGTCTGAACGACAGAGTGCTGCCAAAAAATTGATTCATCAATTGCCATCGTCTGTGGGAAACGCTACAAGAAGCTAAGTTCTCACCTTCTAAAAGGCCAAAAAATTGATTCATCAGTTAGCTTCCTCTATTGGATACGCTACAAGAAGCTAAGTTCTCACCTTCTAAAAGGCTAAATCCTCTTCTTTCAGAAAACTAAGATCTCACCTTTTAGAAACTAAAGGTCTCACTTTCTAGTTTCCATTTTTTATGAACTCAAAGGCACCTTTGAGTAGCATCAACACCAAGAACGAATACTGATTATTTGGGGGCAAAAACATCTATGATGAACATGGAGAACTCCCCTGTGACAATCAGACAAGTTCAAGCCAAACTCAGCATCCCCAGTGCCTAAAATAAATACCCTTGTACTGGGAGCAACTCGGCGTATACATGTCGATGCAGAACAGGTAGCAGAAGAATGACCTTGAAAACAAGCAGTCTAGCGACAAGCACCTTGGAGTAAGGTTGTCCATGTAGGTTGAGCCAATCATGGTTCCCGTAGGAAGTTGGTGGCCAACAGATTAAGCAGCTCTGCTGACTTTATTTCAGCTCGGATAAGCCTCATCAATCCTCTTCGCGAAGTACCCTCTACAAGATGAGCTCTTTGTGGCTTCTGTGGAAGTTGGCGGCCAATGGATGACATTGACGCCCTTGCAGGACGAGGCTTCCAAGGCTCCCATTCAAGCTGGAGACCTAAATTCAGTAGTGCTGCCCCTATAGGTCGAGCTCCCAGTGTCTTCTTGTCGGAGTGGGTGACTAGCATCAGAAGCTGGAGACCTAAATTCAGCCGTGGTTGCCGCTAGAAGGAGGGCATGGGAAAAATCAAGGATAAGGAGAGTGGACTGCGAGTCACTCCCAGAGCCTAAGGGCTAAGGTGTGAAGCAGAAAAAAGACCTCGACACCAGATGAGACCCACTAGCCTCTTCGCCATGATCAAGGATAAGAAGAGTGGACCGCGAGTCGCTCCCAGAGCCTAAGGGATAAAGTGCCGAGCTAATAAAAGACCTCGGCACCACATAAGACCCAGTTGCCTCTTTTTCATGGGTGAAATAAAAAG